TTAAACAGAGGCAGTATTGCTCTATTTCAAAAAATATAAGGTTATAGCATAGGATCCTGCAGATCTCTTTACTCAGGGAACATATGAAAGGATATTCACTGCCGGTACATTAAAGAATCTCTGGCTTTTCCAGACAGTCTGTCAGTTCCTGTTATCTGAAAATGCACTTGAAAAGTTTAACAGTTATTTTTCCTTAAGAAGAAATCTCATCTCATTGTTTGGATCAATTTCCTTTTTAGAAGATATGTTGTGCCTGCACCTCCCTCAGGAAAAGGAAAAGAGTCGTAGGCAGTATGAATCAGAATATTCCAGTGGAAACCTGCACAATATCCCAGCTTCTTTCACACGTATTTTCTTCTATGCAATCTACATTAACCAATCAAGAAAAAAAAGAATTGCTAAAGAATGTTAGGTATACATTACAGAAACGAAGACAGAACTGAGCTGTGTATTAAGATGAGCTATCAAAGGGCTGGCAATAATCTCACAGCTCCACCGTGCTGGTTCACAACTCCACTAAACCAAGCAGCTGCCTATTGACTGCATGCCCCACAGCCTTCATCGTGCTAAGCTCCACAGCCAGGAATCAAATCAGTAACTCCCATCTGCTCTTGTGCGACTGCAATGGGTTTCACCCCTTGCAGAACTTAAATCCACTAATTAACAGAAGTTGATTTCTTCTCAAGCTCAGAGTATGAGAGTTTGAATTTTTATACTGAGCAATGTCCGAATACTACTTTATACGTGAGCGCAAAAACAGAGGTGCTCCTACCATTTGTTGACTACCTGTGACCTGTGCCTACACTATGCAGTCTGAGTGGCTTTATAGGAAGCTGAAGGTCTGAAGCAATACAGTAAAATACCAAACAACTTCGTAGTGGCCCAAAGCATGATATCTGCATTTCGTATGTATTTTCTTTAGTGAATGCACTAGCATTGGATATGATATACACTTAGAACTGCTTCCAGTTGAATACTTAGCTTCTTGGCTGGCATAAATGGAATTTACAGGAATTATTATTCTCAGAGTAATGTTAATTAAAACGTACATTCAAAGGCAAAGACAAGCTGGATTCTTTTTAAACAACATTAATGCAGTTTAAGGAAACAGAATGAAACAGATAATGAAAGCATGATGCTTCTTGCTTTGGACAAAGCACAGATAATAATTCATAATAAAATGAATTAAAATTATATTAAACCTTGATTAAAATAAAATGCAAGCAAAGAAAAATTATTTCAGTGTTTTCCAAATGCTTGTGCTTCTCAGTCAGAAGAGTATTAAGTATATATACACATCCAAAATTAGCAGAAAAGGTGGACTTGTATGCCAGTAAAGCCTAAAATAGTTTAATTTATACTGCACAAAAAATAATTTTAATCATGTTTAGCTCTGACACCTACTTTTTGATATGCATATTAGTGTATCTGTCTTAACTTGCTTGAAGAGAAACCAATAGTATATAATAAGCTTTTTACTCTGTTTTGCTATGGAAACAAGGCACGTGTGGTCCCACTATCTCTGACTTTCTGTATTTTCTCAGATAATTTTTAACATGTTGCATGATTTCACCTAATTGGAATGAAGAAAAAAATAAAGACAGACTTGGTGTCAAAAGTTAATTCCTTTCTTGCAATTGTAAGGAAACAGAGAAGTAATGAAGAGGAATCAGCTAAGCGGGGCAGCTGTGGGCAGCACTGACCTCCCAAAGAAAGAGCCTTGTGCAGCCTCAGCCTTGTCTCCCTGGGCAATCATCCAGGACATGAGGCCACGCTTCACCCAACCACCTGTCTACCTCTAATTCAAGCAACTTTTCAAGACTGCCCTCTCAATCTGCCTTTTGTAATAAAGCCATAGTTTTAAAGATAAACCTATGAGAATATGCTAGAAAAAAAGGAAAGAAAAACATTCTGAAATAATGTTAATATTCAAGGTCATTACTTCCGCTTTTAATCCCCTTTTCATGCTTCTCATCTTTTCCTTGTTTAGGGCTGCAATGCTTGCTGTTGATGGCAATAATGTTTTCCAAGCCTCTACACAAGAATATTGACCTGTTGTTGATCAATGTACCAGCAGTATATAATAACTTGGTGCTGTTCTCCTCCCAGCTGCCAGTGCTTGTGTGTTCCAGATTCATTTCACCTGAAGGGATAGACTGCTTCAAAAGCAACCTCACCTGGACCACTCTATCCAGGAAAAAAAAAAAAAAAAAAGCAAAAGCAAAAGCTATTCCACTGAAAATATGATTCTTATTTAGATACGTGACACTAAAATAAAACTGTAGCATTCCTGTGACCATGGGTGCTTGTTAATTCCCCAGAGAGTTAAAGTTAAGGTGCTGTGAGAGTAATGAAGTCTTTATCTTGATTGGAAAATATTTTATTATACGAACAAATGAATCACTGGTCCACACCCAGAGCCTTTTTCCTTTCTTCCCCTCTCTCTACAGCAACATTAAAATGTAACAGCAGGGAATTCAGCCAGGTTTCATCTCCCACACCTACTGCAACAACCTGCATACACACAGAAGATTTCTATTGAAAAAAAAACTAAGTTCCGAGTGAGAGTTAAAGATTTTCTTATTTCTAGCAAAAGTTAGATGCTCTTATTTTAACCTTTGTTCATGTTCGTACTTCCAGGCATGAAGTGCTACTAAAGCACGTTACACTTGGCATCACTTATTACTGAAGCAGAAGGCAATGTAATCTTGTGAGAAAGTGTAATAATGCGGTATTCATTTTGCTCTGTGGCTGGAAGCCAACTCTATATTAATATTCATTTTCAGTATACAGAGCCACAATATTTCATTTATTTTAAGAATTTACAATTAATTTGGTATGATTCTGTTATCTGCTCCCAATTTCTTTCCCTGTTTCTTTTAGCTGAAAAAGCAGCTCTCATGCAGACTTTAAAAAAGTAAATTCACAACTGAAGCATCAAAAGATTGCTACTGGCTACTAAAAGCAAGAAAAAACAGGGACAGAACAAAATGAACTTGAAATATTACAGATGACAATGAAAATTAGCTTTCTGCAAATAGAAAAAAAAAAAAAAAAAAATCAATCTGCAGAAGTTCTCAGCTGACTTCTTCCTTTCCAAACTCAGCTGATAAAATGCTACTTGCAGCATGCTGTTCGCTACTGTTGCTAAACCAGAGCAAGTAAATTGTTAATCTCCTTTTCCTTTCTGTTTTCAGGAGTTTTCAACCACTGCACAGTATTAAACTGCAAGTAGTCTGGCGAATCTTTCTAAAATGCAATTGCTGTAAATCCCTATATCTGTTACAATAAGAGATAAAACCTTAGCATTTTAAAGTATAAGTAAGTACCTCTAATTCCTGCACACTAGTGCAACCACTTTTGCTACGTAAGCACATTTAAAATTATCACACTTTACCAACTAACCAGTCTTTCATAAAGGCAGTAATTCTCCCAATACACATTTATCTTCCCTACCTGCCTAAAGAGGCTGAAAGGTAACATACCTTCCAGCTGGGACTTTTCTTACAGAAGTGAGATTCTACTCAAGACCACAGACTTGGCAGACATCAAGAGAGCAAGCAGTACAGCAGGTACTAAATCAGGAGGCACGATCAGTGAGGAAATCATGCAAGAGCTGCAGTACGCCTTTTGAAGGCAGATTTCTAATAGTATCCTAGCAATGCTTCAGAAGAAATAGGGGAAGTACGAGAAACTGACTGTGGAAGCGATTTAAATGGAATTAGATTTCATTCCAGAAACCTTCAGAAAGACTCTTAATACATACTCCTGGCTATGTTCATTTTATTTTATAAAATAACATATAAATATATATATATAAAAACAATATATTTTAGCAATGCTTGTCTGTCAAGATCCAAGTCTTAGTCTGGAATAGATGCTAGGAAATTACACAGGAAATGTGAAAGACCTTATACAATATTTATATTTTTAACCTTTAGTTTTACCATTTTTAGGAACTAGATCTTTTGTGTTTATATAGATTTGGGAGAAAAGAGAGGGGGAGGCTCAGCAGCTTTCCTGAAGCATCTCTAAAAATTCAGCCTCAAAATTCAAAGAATTTTAACAGTCTGTATGTGTCTGCTTTAAAAGATGGTGAGATCACACCACAGATGTACCAAAGCAGCCTATATTTTATATACCAATTACTGAATAATGTAAGAAGGCACAGAAGTACCATTTTATTACCAAACCAGAATTTTCACCTGCAATCTAGTAAAATAAAATGATTATAACCAGAAATAGCCTGAAGTTCCTTACAAATATTCGTCATTAGAAATTCAAAAACCAGGTTTCCCTGATCATTCATTCATGCTGCTCTGGCTATTACTAAGTGGGAGGGCTATAAGAACAGCTGGGAAGACAGACTAATTAAATAAAATGGAGTTTATGAAGTTTTCTTTAAAAACGTTTTTTCTTCCTTATCTCCTTAATTCAACAGCTATTTTAAACAGTACATTTGATAGCAGTGAAGTTTTTTTTTTTTTAAAGCAAAAAATTTTTAAGTAGATGCTATTCCTGTATGAACTATTTCCTGAAATTAAACATGCATAGCTCTGATCTTAATGAAGTGAGTGCTGTTTTATTTCCAGCCAGCCAAATTAGGAAAGCAAAATAGGTATTTCATTTGCACTATTTAGTTATTATATGTCACATTTAAAATAGTATATATTGTTCATAAATGGCACAATGTGAACAGAAAAATGGAAGATAAATAGATGAATTCAAAACTGAGGAATCTACCAACCAAGGAGATTAATACTGTCTCTTCAGGTGCCTGAACTTTACAGTTACAGCATACTACACTGCATCAAAACAAGAGCAAAAAAGTTTTTTTTTCTTAAAAAAGAGAATAATTTGAGTCTTATAAATTCAACGTAGAAACTGACACATATACTCTTAGTTTGAAATCCTAAAGCATTAAGTCACCTAACCAAAATTAATTGTACAGACCATTCATCTCATTTCCAAACACAGGCATAAAATAAACTAAAGCTTACCTTCAGTAGTACAATGCAGGAAGCTGATAATGAGCAGGAACCAAAAACTTTGCATTCTGCAACCAGAAGACACCATTATTGATCCCTGTAAGAATTTTCTTTGTATTCCTTAATGAATCCAGTCATAAAAGCCCAGCATCATCGAAACCAGTGCTCTGCATTATTCATCTTCATATCTGGAGGAGAGGATTTGGAAAAAGAAAAAAAAAAAAAGAAAGCTCATCAATAGCTGAAACACCAATAATTTGGAATACCAAATTTTACTTGACACGAAGACAGAAATGTTAATAAAAACTGGCATGACACCTGTACTGTAGCAGAGAATTTGGCAGGTTTGTGGGCTCTAATCTCTGAAGGTCAGTCATCGTTAAACAGAATGCCAAATAATGATACACGCTAAAGCTGAAAGTAGGAATGTTATTGATGTACATGCACTTAGATGCACGAAAAAAGAGACTATTTACTCTTAATGTAATATATTGGATTTGTAGATGTCTAGGTGAAGCTTTCCCCAATCTTCCAAATCTGACAAAACCAGCACTTTCCTACCTCAAAGAAAAGCAATAAAATTAAGTGCAGGGCAACTCCGTACACCCAATGATTCACAGCACACAGGGAGCAGCTGAGCTGTGCAGCAGCAGCACCGCTGCAGGACTGCCCGCCACGCCTACGGTGCTCCCTGCTGCGATGCACAACATCCTCCAACAAATAACAGCAACTCTGCTGACAAAAGCGGTTCGGTTAGGAGGCATCGTTGGGATACTACAGTCTAGTGGGTCTTTACACAACAAGCATCTACAGAGAACAGGAAGCAATGAGCAATGCTCTACCATCCTTAGCTTCTGACAAGATTTGTCTCCGAGAAGAACAAAACAAACTGCTCCTGTGAGCTATGTCCAAAGAAGGAATTCTTAAAACTATCAACTCACATTTGAAAAATAAAATTATAGCTGAGCACCCACGTACATCCTCGCCCCCCTCCCACTACCACGGTGATGCTATGCTCCAACTACTATAGCTAATGTGGGAAGCTACACAGAATATGTATAAAATTAGTATAAATGTATAAATTATTTTTAAGTGCAAAAACGGTTCTATACAAATACACAGAATGACTCCCAGAGAACGACTGCACGTAGCTGCAATTGCAGCTCTGAAGAGCTGCATCTGGTGCCACACTGGCTTGGTCTCTCCAAGACTAGTAACAGGACTGCTCTTCCATGTGTGGACACATTTCTGCAATATCTGAAGTTAACATTAGTTTATAAACAGACGGCAATGACTGTGCCAACGCCTATGAAAATGTAACTGGTAGGATCCAAGAGCCACTTGTGAGTCTTATGAGTACTGGAACGTGTTTATGGCTTTAAAAATACATTCACTCTTTTGCCAAAAAGAATTGGAAAGGATGAGAAGCACAGAATCCCAGGGAAAGAAATTCTATGCAGATCATTTTCAGAAGTCTAACTCCTTTTGTATTAGTCAATCTTACTATTAATCAAGGATATGTTTGTTCCTTGAGCGCACAGACAGCGACCAGACTGATAATTTTTTCTCCAAGGACAGAAATGTGAGGGAGGGGGAAAAAAAAAAAAAACAAAAAAAAACAGAAAAAAACAAAAAAAAAAACACCATTATGAAACAATTTCTCCAGCTGTAAACAAAGGCAACAGAAGAGGAGATCAGTGAACTGCAAAGTAGGCTTTTTTGCTTGGCTCCTATGTAAGAGGAGCGGTGCTGCTCAGTGCAGGCATCCCCCTTGCAGTGTACAAGCACGTTTGTGATTTCACACACAGGAAAATGAAAGGGAACTGACATCTGAGGGCAACTGATTTATGTTTATTTACACATAAAAACAAACCCTTTTCCCAATTCCCAACTACAAGCAAGTGCTTCTCAATCACAGGTGCTTTTACCCACATGTATCTGAACAAACAGCATGCAACAGCAAGCGGGTGTGTTAGGGCAGGTCAGCTGCAGGGTTCTCCTTGGCACAGTCCCATTTGTCTGCAGGTAAAAGCTGCACCCTCTACTCAGAGGGTGAGACACCATCTGCTATAGGACAACCAGAAGCAGTCATGAAGAGACTCATTGTATCTCTAGACCTTTCACATTGGGCTGAGAACATTTTGCAACTGAAAAAAAATACACATCTAAAAATCTGCAAAGGATGCGCTGTATTCACCAGAAATTACAACAAAAACAAGCAAACCCACCATGCCTGAAGATAGTTTGGCTAAAGCTTGGGAACAACCCAAATTATTTTTTAACCTGTAGCACTCAAAGGAAAAATCACAGAACTACTTCACAGACGCTACAGACTAATCAGTATAAATTCAGTAAGCAATCAGAATAATCCAAGAGAATAAATGAGGAACAATAATGGCTACATCTGAAATTGCCAGTCTCCTGATTGCTCCCAGGCTGACCAGAAGATTTTGACTTCCTGAGACTCCATTTTTAGCATAATTTCCACAACATACAGCTGCATTCCCAGATTCTGAGATATCTTCTTTCACCTTCAAGCAGATAGTGACATACCTGCACTTTAGCATCCTTCACCTCATTGCATCTTGTGGTTTCTGTATCTGGGAGGAATATGGGAGCATTGTGTTAAAAACAAAAGCAAAAATCAGAGCAGCACCAGAGGCATCTAACATCTTTCCAGGAAACAGCTGCAAAATTCACGGCAAAGACTTGCTTTTTTGTTTTGTTATTTGTTTCTTCTGACCTTGTAAACGGACTAACTTTAACTATTCTAATAAGAAATGTTTCTGAAAGCATATGGACGGTTTTGTCATATCAAAATCAGCAAAAACTGTTCAACTAGGAATAAGTGCAAATTACTTTTAGGACAAACGTATGTACTCTGTGCAATATATTGTTCTCTCTAGATTGCCGTAGCATACAGACATAAAATTCAACACAGCATGCTGCTCCAAATATTGAAAGTTTATTTCAAAATAAACTAACCTGCCTGTAACCAATGACACGTTTTTCTAAAAAAGCAAAAATAAATTTGTCAATGTTTTAAAACAGAGGAAACAGGTTTTAGTTTTGTTTTTTTCTTACTAAAAATTAACTACTTCCCAGTGAACAATTTTTAATGCAACCTATCTACTTGAGTAGCTCTCTGTGCCTTCAAACAAATGTGCACTGCTACCATCCTGGACCAGCTATTTATCAACACAGCAAAGACTAACCCTGAAAAAGGTACCCAGACATGAGCTGGAGCCAAAGCCCACTTTGACTCCAGACGCTGCCGTCACTCGTGTCTTCCTGACTATGCATCTGTCAGAGATACGGAGACTGTCAGTGGAACCTAACAACAACAACAAATCCCAAACCAAACAAGCAGCACCAGGAAAAGCCATATTAAGTTACTTCTCTGTAAACAGAAGTAGACAATGGCAAGCGGCTATCCTGCGCAAATAACTTATTTCCCCTCAGACCTTAATAAACCTTTTCTCTGGATCACTGACTGCTCGGGCTTGTGGGTGGAGCAGAGAGAGATTCCCTAGAGGAAAAGGTTGCTTGAATTTCAGAGAGCAATAAAAGCTGCACAGAAAATTTCAGTTGTAACTTAAATCTCTACCTCTGGGCCATGCTGTGGTCTCTGACAGGAAAACAAAAAGAAGACTGCTGCTAACAGAAAGGTTCACTTTGTTAAGTTCCTTTGCATATGTGCTGTTAAAGGAGGCTAGATCAGTAATGGTAGAGTTGATGTTCAGACCTGCACACTGCAAAGGTACTGGGCATCTCTTAATACTGTATCCACAAACCGCGCTCCAAGTCCCCAACATCTTAGCACCTTGCCTTGCTGCCTTGTTCCTCAGTACTTCTAAAACTTCTTACAGACAAAACAGGGTTGCAGAATACGTGCCACTGCCAGCCAGCTCCCTCCCCACAAGCTTGCTCTCAAGAGCACCCCAGAGATAAGAGAAAGCTGCTCCAAGCATAGTCCTTGAAATACTTTCATCTTAGAAGAGAAAGACCTCTAAAGGACTGCCACTTCCCAACTCTACTCTGTTTAACCTTCCCAAGACTTTATTTTCAAAAGCCAAAAAAAGGGTCTTTTAAGAGCTTCCGGACAACTGACACAGCATGCTCAAGAGCTGCCTTTCCCCTCCAGTTCCAAGCTTTTAAGGCAATTAAGCCAAACAGGACTGCAGAGATGCCTCCAGCTAAGCAAGTACGTTTTTCTCTAGCTAAAAGTCTTTCAGACTAACAGTGATGTATTTCACAACATAGTGTTTAATTTTCCAAACGGTCTTAGAAACTACAAAGCGCTTGCAATCTTAGTTAAGCTCTAATGTCTCTATTACACAAATAAGAATTACACTAGCTTTACTGACAATGGTGCACAGCGAAGTAAGGAATGGCAGCCACAGCCATACAGCTCATACATGCTGAGCACAAGCCAGCTAGTGCTCCTTATAAATCTTGTATGACCTACCTTGCCACATATGCAACACTCCCACCACCTTTCATCACCCAGTTTATGAAACAAAGTAATTCTGTATTATATCTGAGACATTCTGCAGTGGAAAGGAGGGGGAAGAAGAGGCATGTTTGAGTAGATATATATTCATACATTATAATAAACTGCACTGTCTCCTGAGAAATCATGTGTCCATGTGCCTTCCCATCATGAGACCTTCCCAATCAAAAATAAATAAATAAATAAAGTTAAACTTGTAGTCTGTAACATGAGAATTCAATTAGTGCAGTGTGATTAGTAAAAGCTTCTAAGCTACTCTAGTAAAATAATAGAATGAGACTATGATCCAAGATACATAGCATTACAAGCACTTACAAGAACTAGGTCTAGTTCGTTACATTTAACATACTTACAGATATATACAACTAGTTACTCCCAAATTCTCAATAAGGTTATTAATGTAAGCCAACTTTTGAGTAACTTTCACATTAGGGCTACAGGATCAGATTGCATAACATTTTCAAGACTTTGAAGTCTTGGAAAAACAAAACTGAGGTCAAGCAAGACCCCATACTGCTTTAGTTAGCGTATTTGTGGCAGCTATGATAAAGAATCAATACCTGATCAGTTCCAATTAAACAAGTCACACGTTGAGAGAAGAAAGGAAAGGCTAAAACTGCCATTAATTAACATTTATTTTCCATTAAAAGCAACTCAATGCTAAAAATGTACCAA